TCCACTGTGCTCCGGCGACGGCGCCGCCACCCGCGGTGGCGATCCACCTCGAGTTGGCCGTTTCTGGCCGTTTTCGGCCTAAGTCGGCCAAACTTGCATTGGTTCCTGTAATAAAACACCCCTAGGGCCCTCGGTGGGCCAAAAAATTACAGTAAAACTGAGGCTTACCGGCGGCAGGGCTCTCGGGTGCGGCGACTCCTCCAGCGCGAGTTGCGATTTGGTGTTTTGCTCCAATCAACCTGTAGAGAAAAGAACGATGGTCACGGTGGTATAAAGATTACATCGAACGGGAATCGGGAAGGGCCTCATCGGAGGTAAAAATTGAGGAAACTCGCGGCGGCGCCGCTGGACTTCGGCAGTGTTTTCCGGCCAATTGACCGGTGGTTTGGCTCCGATTTGGCCACATGGAGGTTCAGCATCGAAAAACGAGGAAAGGGGAGAAATTTTACCTCGTTTGGCGGCCGAAAAATCCTCCGGTACAGCGGCGGGTGACGGCGGCCGGTTCCTCGGTGGCTGGGTCGTCTTCTTCGGTGAGGGTTTTGGCAGCTAGGGTTTGGGGTTGGGTGTGGATGCGATTATTTATAACCCTCCCCTTTTAATCTGAGTCATCCATCATGATTTAATTTGGACCATCCGATCGTAATTAAATTGGAAATAAATCTAGGCAGTCCATCGCGTTGCGATCTGGGTCGTTCGTACATGATCAAATATGGACCGTCCGCACGCGTGAGATCTGAGCCGTCCACACGCGCTTTTGATCTGGGTCGTCCATGCGTGCGGGAACGGATCTTGGCCGTCCGATCGCGCGCACGCGGATCGCCCACGTGTCTCCGTCCCATCGTGGCTTCCCACATCAACGTCCCTACCACGCGGTGTGTCCTGGTTGGCAGGGGCTGCTAACGTGGCACTATTTTTCTAAATTATATTTTGACCCCCGATTTTCGATTTTCTTTTTAAAAACACCCCTAGAATCTAAATTTTCACCAATTTTTTTCAAATTCAATTTCAATTAAATTCCAAAAATAATTTTACCCCGTTTTATTATTATTATTTCTATTAAATTAAATTAAATTAAATTAAAACTTTATAAATTAATTATTAAAATAAAATAAAATTAACAAAATTCCAAATTAAATTAAAATAAAATAAAAATAAAAATAAAAGAAAAATCTTTGGGCATTACAATTTTAATATATATTCATTTTCTTTTAGTTTGGGCCTTTACAACAGCACATTGATCAATAACAAAATTAATCTATAATTTGTTAATTAAGTGCATAGCATAAATAAATGAGAGAATGAAAGAGAGATTGTGAAAATTAGTTTACAATTTGTAAATTAAGTTGCTGGCCTTAGGAGATGACCTAGGCACAAGATTAGGGCCAAAACTTTATAAATTTATAATCTTTTCTAGATTGAAAAAAAAAAAAGAGAGAAAGAGATATAGCAAACTCTATTTTCTAGATGTTCGACCCCAATCTTGTGCCTCCTTAATCTCCTCAAGCAAGCAACTTGAGAATTTCTACAATCTTCTCAAATACTTAGTTTTCCCAAAGGTGCCAAGTTTCACTTCTTGTCTAAGTTCAACTTTTTGTAATTCTAGATTAAGGTACTCACCTTTACCATTTACCAAGACTTGTACAAGGTGCCTAACTTCACTACTCAAGTGTTTCTCTCATACACTCAATTTCTAAGAGGTTTCTCACACTTTCTATAAGGTGTCTAACATATGTGTCACATGTTTTGAAAAATGTTAAAAAATTCACACATATTTTGGCACATGATTCGTCATATGACCTTTTATCTTAGATTTTTAAAAACAATTTTTATCTAAAATTATTTCCAAGTTTTTTTAAAAAAATATTTTGATCACATTAAACTTCTTAAGAAATTAAGTTAAAAATATATATTTTTTATTTTACAACATAAATCAATTTTCTCAAAACTTTACTTAAAGATTTTATCAAACTTTCAAGAAGCTTTGAGATCATAGCGAAATAATTTTTCAAACAGAAAATCTCAAGAACAAAATTTAAAGACTTCAAATTAAATTTTTTAATATTTTTCAAAAAGAATCTTGAACCAAAAATTGAAAGTACTTTCTTCTCTTCCAAATATATCAATATAATCTCCAAGTGTTACATCTTTCATTTTCTCATCTACTCCTCTTGCTTCAACTTTTGTTATAAATATTCTTTCAAAAACTCACTTAAAAGTAATGTTATTATAAATTAAATATTTATCGTCCATCAAAATTAATACGTGTATTCCAACAATATTAGAATAAAACTAGTGTGACAATATAGATAATAATTATCTAAACATTTTATGTTATATTAAATAATTTTAAATATAAAATTAAAATTAGTGTGATAATATAAGTATGTAATTGATTTTTAGTTGGCTATAAACTTTAAAGTGATGTATTATATAAACCTTTTTAGTAGTATACTATAAAAAATCTTAACCAACTATTTTTTCACCTCATTCATCTTGCAGATGTTTGATAAAAAATTAAGTTATATTAATTTTTCTACAACTTAATTAGAAGTTATTTTTTCTATATAATTTTTGTTCACATAAAAATAATTTATATTATTTTTTATATAATTATAAAAAATTATATTATGTGAATAGTACAAATTGTGAATCTATTTTATTTTAAAGTTTCGCACCTGTTATAATTTAGTTTTTAATAATTTTTTTAAAATTTAATTTTTAATATTTTTTATTTGTAATCAATGTCCAATTTCCTTTCATTTTTAATGCAAAAAAAAATTAAAATAATAAAATTATGTTTAGATATTTAAAAATAGCTCAGAAAATTAATTAATTAATAATTAATAATAATTAGTTAGAAATATTTTTATTATTAATAATTAATTAATTAATTAGTTAAAATTATTTTTTAAGTTATTTTTTAAAAATATCTAAACATTTCCTAATGATTGTAGTCTTCTTCTTGAAAAAAACAAGAAGAAACTGAATGTTTTAATTAAAAAAAAAAAAAAAAACCATTAGGAACCAAATTGTACCCAATAAATATTAAAAATTAAATTATAATAGTTATTAAATTCTTAAATTTTTAATATTTTTAACAGAGAATTAGCTCATATATAAATTAATATGACTAATTTAATTTAAACCGAACAGACTAAATAGCTTAGTGTAGTCTCTAACCAGCCTGAAAAAAAATAATAATAAGACTCGTCAATAGTCAAAATAAAGTCAATGAAATCAACGCTTGATATTCGAGGTCATTGTAGGCGCGTAACACCAGATCATTCTGGAGATCTAAATGAAATCTGCAGATTCTTTTAACCCCATTATCCGACTCAGATTTTTCTCCGGATTCTACAGTTGGGTCAAAACAAAAATTTTGCAATTGCTTCTCCGAGACAGAAAATCTGGCTTTATAGGTCAATATGCAGTTGGATTAATAAAAATTTGTTAATATGCGTAGTCAAATTAGTTGGAAGAATATTACAGGTCTTTTAACTTGTTATGGGTTTTAGTTATTGGCGTGTTGAGAACCGCAAGAACGGAAAAAGCTTGAGAAACAGAGCAAGTTGATTAGATGAAAGCAGAAAAGGCTATTTTTGGAGGAATATGAATATGGGATCAGTTGAAGAAACAATGTATATGTATATTTATATGTTCGGTGTATATATTATGTATATATGTGTACGTGAGAGAGAGAAAAGGTGTTGTATTCGAAATGGAAAACGACCTAGAATGCGTGAAGCTTCCACCATTGGTGAATTCCTATGGAATATGGGAAAGGTTGGAGGATCCTGTAAATGGCAGTAAATTATGGGATTACTCATTTCCCGTCTTGGAGAGTCTTCTAGTTATTATTTTCTTTTTCTGGCAACTCATTTATTTCATGTTCAAGCGTTTCGGAGTCTCCAATTTCACCGCCCAGATTGCTGTAAGTGCTTCTGTTCTTCCTTTTTTTTTTGTCTTTATTTATTTTAAAAAACCCTAAAAGGAAATTTGGATGTGATCCAGGCTGGTCTGTTGCTGAGTATTATAGCTCTTTACAAGAGGGGCGGGCTTGAAGAAATTCTGTTTCCTAAGGGCTATAGAGAAAACGTAATAGGCACAATGGGTACATTTGGGTACACAATGTTCTGGTTTTTAATGGGCGTGAAGATGAATTTAGGGTTAGTAGCAAGAACTGGATGGAAAGCATTGGCAATTGGATTTTGTTCAGTGATTGGACCACTGTTTATGTCTTTGGTGTTTTACCATCGCGAATTGAAAGTAACTAGTGGTTTCAACTCACCTACTGGCTTCATCATCTTCTTCCAATGTACTTCACCATTTCCAGTTATTGCTGCTCTGATCATAGATATGAAAATCCAAAACTCTGAACTGGGTCGACATTCTCTTTCTTCAGTATTTATGAGTGATCTTCTGGGTGTTTTTCTTTCCTTGTTGTTTCACTTTATTCAAAATGGTTTTAACAACATCACACATGCAGTCATAGATGTTGTAGCTATTCTCCTCTTCATGATTTTCACTGTATCCATCTGGCGTCCTGCTATGTATTGGATTATTAAACGCACACCAGAAGGCAAGCCTGTCAAGACCATTTACATTTATTTCATTATAGTTGCTGTTTTTGGTGCCGGTGCTTATTGGGCATTTTTTGAACAATATGTTCCTTTTGGTCCTTATTTCTTGGGGTTATTTCTTCCTGCTGGACCTCCTCTCGGCTCTGCATTGATCGATAAGTTCGAGTGTCTTGTCACTGGTAGTTTGTTGCCTTTCTTTGTGGCTTCTTGTGCCATGCATGCTAACCTCAGCACTGCTGCAAAGTTGGAAGGATTGACTATCATCCTTGTCACTTTTGCAGCTAAGTTTGTTGTATGTCTTGTTTCTTGTCTGCTTTCCAAGATGCCTTTGAGGGATTCTATTGCTCTCGCTCTTGTTATAAATCATAAAGGCACTATTGAGCTCTCTGCCTATTCTTATGGACTTCAGATAGAGGTCTGTATACACATCACTTGACGTTCTTTTCTTTTACACACACATAAACACATATATATCTTGATGGGAACCAAATCAAATCAAACCAACTCATCATGATTCTGTTTCTTTGCAGATTATCAGAGACGAACATTTTTCCACAATGACCCTTTACATTTTGATAAGCTCATACATCTTGCCTATCTTGGTGAAGATGGTGTATGACCCCTCCAGAAAATATACTGGTTACCAGAAAAGAGATATAATTCACTTGAAACCCAACTCAGAGCTAAGAATCCTCGCCTGCATCCACAGACCTGATAACATAGCCCCCATGATCAACCTCCTTGAAGCTTCATGCCCAACAAAAGACAACCCCGTTGATGTTTATGTTCTTCATCTTATTGAGCTCATAGGTCAGGCATCTCCTCTCTTCATCTCCCACCAAATCCAAAAGAAGAAAGTTGGCACCAAGTCTTACTCAGATAATGTCATCATCTCCTTCAATAATTTCCAGAAAAATTTCTGGGGTTTAGTTAGTGTTAGTACCTTCACTTCAATCTCTTCCCTTGAATGCATGTATGAGGACGCCTGCACACTTGCGCTTGACAAACTCACATCCCTTATCCTCCTCCCTTTCCATCGAACATGGTCCATTGATGGGTCCATTGTGATATCAGACAACAACATGATAAGGAACCTAAATTGTAGCGTCCTTGGAGTGGCGCCTTGCTCGGTTGGGATCCTGGTTGATCGAAGCCGCATAGGACAAAAAGAGAAATCAATTGATGAATCTTACCATGTGGGTATGATTTTCTTCGGCGGAGAAGACGATAGAGAGGCTCTAACACTAGCCAAGCGCATGTCTAAAGACTCCAGATCGAATTTGACTGTTATTCATTTTTTATTATCATCAGGAGTTGTTGTTTCGGATTGGAACTCCATGCTTGATTCCACACATCTAAGAGAATTCAAGCACAATAGTGGTGGGCAAGGGTGTGGCATGTACATAGAGGAAACTGTGAAAGATGCATCAGAGACTGCATTGGTTCTTAGATCCATGGTAGATTACTATGATCTGTTTATTGTTGGGAAAGGAGGAGGGATGGGAACTCCTTTTACAGCAGGCCTTGACGAATGGACTGAATTCCCTGAGTTGGGTGTCATAGGAGACTTGCTTTCGCAACCAGATCTTGATAGCAGAGCTTCAGTCTTAATAGTGCAACACCAAAAGCAAAGCTTATAGTACGCATGCATAGTCAGTTTCATGTTTCTAATTTTCTTCTTCTTCTGCTTCTTCTTCTAAGTGTAAGTTACATGGGAAAATTTCTTCATGCTGCTAGTATCTAGATTACTCTCCAGCTTCTAGAACAGCTTAAATATGGTTTAGTTAGCAGATACTATGTTATATATCATTCAGTTTTGTATTATAAGAATTAATTTTATATATTCACTGCAAAATTAAAATTCGTTTTGGACTCTCGTAATATAGATAATAAAATCTGTTTAATTTAATTAATTTTTTAATAAATAAATAAACATCCAAATTTTTGAAATAAACTCTTTTGAATTATAATTTGAATAGATCTGTACTAAATTGAAAACTATTTCTCTCAAATAATATGTTATTTTTAATGTTATACTAATTAATAATATGTTACTTAAAAATGGGTGTACCCTCACTCCATTATGTTTTGTATATACATATATATATTGCTCAAAATCAGCTCATTTATTGCTCAAGAATTATCACTTTGTGCTATTTTTCAGGCATTAATTTTTTTTTGAAGGAGATTTCTTTTTCATATGCACTATGGTAAAGCGGATGTTTATGCTAATATACTTATCTTGTAGCAGATTTTTCTGCAATTTATTTTTTTCAATAATGTATAAAAGGTGCTTCCTTACTCAATAAAATACACACTTCAGCAGCATCTAGAATATCTTATTCTTGAGGGACATATGAGATTGAGTGAGCCAAACTCAATTCAATTTAGTATCTCCTACCTCTATACAAAAAAAAAAAAAAAAAAGTTGAAATCAAAAACTTTATTCACTGTAATTGCACCTCCAGTATTTAGTGGAACTAAGCATCAGGCGTGGGCTGTTAGTGATAAAGATTGAATTTCCTTGGAATAAGGAGCTGATTTTTTTATCATTTCAATCATATATCTACTGTTTCTTTTTGGTATTGAGAATTTTAGTTAATAAGCTATCAAATAGGAATGAAGCTCTATAATTTATGTTCACCATATTACTTTTCTGATTCAATCATATTTTGTCATTAGAGTTAGTATGATTGGTAATTGACTTAAGTCTGTAAAACTTTATCCTCCACTTTTTGTTTATATATATGTGTTTGTGTGTGTGTGTGTGTATTAAAATAATGGAAAGTTGTTGGGGACTAAACACCTTCACAGTAGAAAACTCTTCTGTCATTTTTCTTGCATTTTTTCCTTTCCATATTTTTTCTATTCTATTTTCAAGGATTTATCAAGTGATCTATCAATGATGGTATGAGGGTTGTTGTTCTTGTAGGTTGTGAGGAGTTAAGCAAGTTTGTTGATTGATTAAACTTCATCAAATTGACAGAGAATAGCCACGAAAGTGAATTTACAGCACCAGCAGTGTTTATAGGAGATAAGTATGATATTGGACTGTGAGGACGGGGTCATACTTGTTTGCTTATAACTTTTGGAGTGTTGTTGAAGAGGATTATGTTAGAGTGCTTTTATTTGAAAATTTTACATGTGCACAAATTCATCAATACTCAGGGGGCTTTACGAAAAATTTCAAAATTTTATCAATTATCCATTTAGCTATATCAGAAGACATTTTTCTCAAGCTGGTGAGCTTTAAAATGACAAACAAAGCTTAAGAATATTTGAAGTGCAAAGGTGAGAGTGTAAAATTATTGACATCAAAGAGGAAGTTTAAGTTGATGAAGATGCAAGAAGGTGAAAGTGTTAAATATTACTCTACAAAGATAATGGATATGGTGAATCAAATCAAATTGTTTGGAGGGGACTTTAAGGATCAGATAGTACTTAAAAAAAATGATGATCAACTTTCCTTATAGATTTAAGTCAAAACTTTCACTAATTAAACAAACTTGTGATTTGGAAAAGTTAGCAACTGAGGTAATAAGCGAGTTGCAACCTTAAGAATAAATGGCTTATATGAGAAGTAAAAGTGCTCTAGAAAATGCGCTTCAAGGTAGATAAGAAAATTCACGCTAGCAGCAGAAATAACAACAGCAAACTAACTTTATGGGGAATCAGGCACAGCAATAAAGCCATTTGTTTATGATTACTTAATTAATATCTTTATGTATCTAGTAAGGACATGTGGTACATTAACAGTACCTATACCAACCACATGACTAAGGATCAAAGGTTATTTTCCAGTTTGGATTTCAAGTTTAGAACCAAAGCAAAGCTTAAAAATAAGATGATTTGTTGAGGATCGAGATGAAGGTTCAATGCTCATTCACATTAAACAAGACACAAAATTTATTAGATATGTATTGTTTGTTTTTGGCCTAAGAGTAAAAAAGTTATTGAGTGTGATTCATATGCAAAATAAATAATATTCAATTTTATTCAAAAATTATTGTTGTCATGTTTATGATACTGCCAATGTTGATATGTGAGGGTTAAAAATGTTGATAATAATTATGTTTTATATTTAAATCACGTAAATCAAATTACATTATCTGTTAAAAATGATGAAACATAACTATAACATAAATGTTTTGATTACTATCATATTGGTGCATTAAACTTAATGCAGAAATATGGTATGGTGAATGAGATGCATGTTATTTCTGGGGAAAAATAGTATGTTCAACTTGTCATTATGACAAAATGTATAGAATTAGTTTTCCAAATGGTGGACACAATTATCTTAACAGAAAGCTTGAGCTAATCCACTCTAATGTCTGTCGGTCTATTAGTATTGCTTTCTTAAGCTGTAATAAATATTTTATTTTGTTTATAAACGATTTCACAAGAATGACATGTGTTTACTTTCAATTAAATAAGGGATATGTATTTTCTGCGTTTAAAAGACTTAAATCACAGATAAAAAAATAAAATAGATGTGAAATAATAAACTTAAGGCCTGATAATGGCAGGGAATATACTTCATATAAGTTCAAAAAATTTTGTAATGATTGTGACATGTTACTTCTGAAATGGTCATATGCTTGATGCCAGATAATGAGTTGCCTAAAAATTTTTGGGTTGAAGCTAATTTATAATAGATGATTTTAGGATTCTACAGTTGACATTGTTATGATTAAAAATTTGTAAAGATACAAATTTTTTTATATATTACATATATGAGTTTATTGGGTTGTATGAAAGGAGTTGCAAATTTCAGAAGTAAAAAATTTGTGTTAAATCCTAATAAATTTGATGAATTCAATTTAGAATTTGATAGATGATCTACTAAATGTCTTTTAGATTGTGAACTTCATGCATTAAACTTCTCGTCGACATATATATACATTATTCGAACTTTAAGATATTTGATATTTGGAATATATAAATTTTTAAGAAAGTTTTTGGCATTTCATTGAAAATTTTAAGATTTTTGGGAAGTATGTATTATATATAATTATTTGATACGAGTATAAATTCTGGATCAAGTTTATTTTTTAATAAAATTAAAAATTAATAGATTTGATAAAGTTATATATTTTGGTAAGAATAAAATGAATTATCTATTTTGACGAGAATAAAAGGTTATTTATAAATTTATTTTAAATATCAATACAATTATAATTTGACCCTAGTAAAGAGGGTAACCAGTGGTACATTATAATATTCGATCCCGAAATTTGACCTAAGATTAATTTTAAAAATTAAAATTAATATATAAAAATATAAATTTTAAATTTGTAAATTTTTATTTAATATAAAATTAGAAAAAAAAGGATGAAATTAAAAATAATTTTGGGAAAAATAGTGAAAATTTGGGTTCGATGATATTTTTAAAAGAAAAATCAGAAACTGGGGGTCAAAATGTAATTTAAGAAAAATGCACTACGTAGGACCGCCTAGTTACCAGCCTCGACGAACCGGAGCAC